GGGGTGATACAGAAATATGATTTGCATCTTTTTTCTTTCTTTTTTGATATTAATTTTAATTTGTTTCTCTTATCCTATTTTTAATATATGTCTTATGTTATATATGTTTTATATTGTGTATCCTGATATGGCCTAGTGGCTAATCAATAATAATAAACTAAACTAAACCTGCAAGCATTTGTATCTGCCAGGCCATGGTCTGGCAGAGAAAGTCATGCTTCTGCAACTTTAAAGATCTGCTGGAACTGGATAATGATTGGGGATGGATTGGAGAGGTGGCCCACACCCTTCCAAGTCTAAGAACATCCTGAGCAAGGAAAAGGTATGGACCTCAGGCTCAATCAATTTCTTCTGTCTCTTCTGAAAAAGAAAATTTGCAGCATTTTTTGAGTGGGCTAGGAGGCCATCAAGCCAACTCACTATCATGCCTGGTAGGGTCATTCATCAGAACAGGAAATTGGTCTGTGCTTTCACATGGAGATGAAACATCCTTTATGACTGGAGAAAACCAGCAGAGAACTGAAACTTCCTACACAGCACTTGTTTGTGGTTTCTGCTAACCCACATGGTCCACACTAACATTTCCTTCTTTCATCTGTTGGACTTACAAAGCATCATCTTCCAAAGTCTACAAGCAGCAGTGAATAGAGCAGTTCACATGCTGTTCAACCAAACATTCCCTTGGTGCTAAAAATCTGGAGGACTTTCACACAGAGAGTGTTTCTCATGGATTTCTGGTGGAGTGAAGAAGGCTCCCCAAAAGCAGAGCTGACAATTGCGGCAGAATGAAGAGCCGGTGAGGAGACTGGCTCTTTGTAATTCCTCTCTGGACAAGGAGAGGACTTGAGATTGCCCACAAGTACTCCAGACAGTTGCTCCTCACAAGGAGACCACAAGAGAGAGGTCTCCGGCAGGTTTATAGTTCTGGGAGATGAAGGAATACTCATCTTGCTCAAACTGCAGTTGGTGCCTATAAAAGGACACTGGGTTTGCATACTTCCTTTTCTAATCACTTTCGGAAATTGCTTATTAACTGCTTTTCAGCTTAGGAACCTTTGGATCAACAAGTCTGAAAACACCAGATGAGTTTCCTTCAATGAAAGGAAGTGAAAGAAGTTTTAAATACAAGTTAAGGATTTAAAAAAAAAAATTTCTGGAATAAACAGCAAAAGGGTAATTAAAACTTTGATCTGAGAAAGTTACAAACAGACTAAAAGTCCAGATAAATTTGAGATAAGATTTTGGAATTAATTATAAAGAACGCTTCCCATGGGAAAATGCTTTTGTTTTGAATTCTTTAAAAAAAAAAAAGACTTTAAAAATTGGACACTAGAGGGAACTATAAGGAACTAAACATTACAATTAAAGGAGAACATTTAAATTTGATTTACAAATACAGAATGAAGCAAAATATTTTAACATTGGACATACTGAAGAATAGTTTTGAACAACGGACTCAGAAGTTAATTTTAAGAGTGTCTGCCTCTGTAGACAGACTGTGTTTAAAAGATGTTATGAAAGAGGAACAAGTTTTAACTGACAAGATTGAGACTGATCTGAGAGTGGATTTAAAAATGACAGGCTACAAGACTGACATGGAAAAAGATGCTACACTGGACATACAAAAGAAACTGACTGAGGTCTTAATAATTAAAAGGGATATGCAAATAACCAAGAGGATGACCTGGATAATTTTCCTACATTTGATTTACAAAAGACGCTTGTTAAAGCTTTGAGGAATTTTGTGAGAAGGGACAAAGAAAAAATGAAAAGAAATCAAGTTCTAGGACATTTTTTGAAGGGACTAAAGATCAAGATTGTTAGAAGGAATCTAAAGTTGGTTTATTTGATCAAGGTTAAAATAGATATGTTATTATCTCTGGTAATCCCTAATGGACTTTTGCTGACATCAGGACTGAAATCATGAGGCTTTAAGGGTTTATAGATAAGAGAGAAGATTCCAGAAGAAGAGATCATTTGTTGAAGGTGGTAAGTTACTAAAATCATTTATACTTGTTGTGATGAAGGGAGAAGTCATTTCTTTTCTTTTTCTTACTATATTCTTATTTTTTATTTCTTTTCTATTTTTTCTTTCTATATTTTTTTCTTTTCTGCACCTTCTATTTTTTATTTTTATTCCTTTTTTTTTAGCTTGTATTAGTTTGTATTGTTGCAATCGTAATTTTTAATAAAATTACTACATTAAAAAAAAAAGATTTGGCTTCTCAGATGTTCCTCCTTGTGGTTACAATTCTCTCTTCAGGCCAGCAACAGCACACGAGCTGACACAAATGTGCCAACTCCCCATACAGTAATTCAGAAACCTGCTAGCAACACTGCAGCTTCTTCTCTCAGCAAAAACCTGAGAGGACCTTTTGATCAGAACTGTTTTCCTTTCCCTCAAACTGGGGTGAACACCTGCATAGTTAGTGCTGAAAAGAGGTGGCCTAATTTCCTGCCATTTTGCAGGACAGACACAAAAGTATGCTGTGAGTCCTAAAGTAGTGTTAAAAGAACAGACTGACCTTCCAGGTAGTGGCAAACCAAACTTGCTGGATTGTTACAAAGCTAAGCAGGGTCAGACTTGGTAAACATATAGATGGGTGACCACCAAAGCTACAGACCCCAATGAGTTTGTTTTTGCTTTTTAAATTTTTAAATTTAATTTTTTTTTTAAATTCGGGAAGAAGGGACTAAAACGCCACGTCTGAATTGTTGCCAAGAAAACAACATAGCTTTGCCCTTTTAATTACCAGAAATCAAGTTTGGTTTTATGTTCATATGAGACAAACATGCCCCCAGAGAAATAAAGGGACCCACATCATAAATAGGTTTATCGACGGGGTTCAGCAGCAGCCTTTCAAGAAGCAATTGGTCAGTCTTCTGTGAGAAAAAAATGTTAATTTGCAGAATTCCTTCCTTCCTTCCTTTATTCATTCTTTCCAAGCCAAGCAGCCTTCTGCATCACCTCTCCTAATCTTTACATTGCTGTGCTCACGTCCTTCCTATATTTATTAACATTCGTTATTCACATGAACAGTCATTATTTATCTTTATTTACATGCATATGTTTTGGAGCACCTCCTCTACATACTGAGCAGTGAGCAAGTTCCCCTTTCATCGCCCCTTGCCATTAGACGAATAATATGAATAACTCACATTAACCATTTATTACTTTTAAATCACATTAACAGGCGAGCTGCTGATTAATATTATTCATTTGTGCTGCTATCAGACCACCTGTTCCTACCCTCCGTTTCCATTCTGTGGAGGGGGTGGGAAAGGTTTCTAAGGTCTGCTGTGCTAAGAACCCGAACAATGATCATTGCGGAGGGTCACCCCTTCGAGGTAGGCCAGGTCAGGAAACAGACTCCACAAGGACTACTAGAACTTTATCGTCGTAGGGTGGGATGTCAGAATCTCAAAAGCCTGATGGATTTTCCTTCTCCCCCTCTTATACTTCAGAGCAGTGTTTCTCAACTTGGCAGCTTTCAGAGGGGGGGGGGACTTCAACTCCCAGAATTCCCCAGCCTGGCTGGGAATTCTGGGGGTGGAGGGGCCCCCCCCCCCTCTCAAGCGCCCAACTGTGGAACACCGGTCTGAGAGAAAAGGGGGGGGGGGAGGTAA